CGCCCCGGCCCCCGTCCCCGCCCCGGCGCCCGCCCCGCCGCCACCGCCCGCCCCCAAGAAGAGTCGGCCGAAGGCGGCCTCCCGTGGGCCGCGAGGGGCTTCCTCCAAGGTCGCCGGCTCGTCCCCGGCCATGAAGAAGCCCGCGGCCCCACCCGCAGCTCCGCCCGCCGCCGTCGCCGAACCTCCTCCCGCCGCGCACGAGGTGTTCGAGGAAATGGCAACCCCATCCTCGTTCATGGACCTCCTCCAAGACGCGGAGGTGGACCTCGGGGCTCCGCCTCTAGAACCCTTTAGGGTTGGTGACGACTTGGAGGAAGATGAGGAGGATGAAGGGGATGACGAGGATGAGGTGGCCGAGATAGGGGAGGAGGCATTCACCGCCGCTTCCCGCCCACACGCGCGGTCGACAAACTACACCGAGGCGGAAGATATCCTCTTGGTTCTTGCTTGGGTAGCTGTGGGGATGGATGCAAGCACCGGCACCGATCAAACCGGTAAACGGTATTGGCAAAGGATCGAGGACAACTATTGTAGGATCAAGCTGAAGAATAGTGGGTTCATCTCTCGCACTTACCGGTCGCTTCAAGGCCGGTGGGAGTTGATGAAGCCCGCTTGTGCTCGTTGGAGTGCGGCCATGGACCAAGTGAGGGATGCACCACCTAGTGGAACCGTGGAGAGTGACTATGTGAGTACATATCTCTTCACTATTTTGATTATGTGTGTGTACTATGCTATTGGTGGGTTCTTATGTGATTATGTGTGGTTGATAGGAGACAATTGCTGGCATGAGGTACAAGGATATGGCCGCTCCAAGGGCAAGCCATTCCCATTTAAGCATGTTTGGGCAATTCTTCAAACCTTTGACAAGTGGAAGTTGAGGGATCAAGAGACCGCACCCAAGAAGTTGGCAATGCTTAGGATGGATGATAGTGAAGATGGGGAGGAGAGGGACTTGGGCAATCCCGAGGGAACCAAGAAGGGCAAGCTAAGGATGAAGATGGAAGGAGAGGCGTCAAGCCTAAGGGAGAAGATGGAGCACATGATGAAGGCAAGAGAGGAATTGACAACGAAGACATTGGAGACGAAGCTTCTTATCACCGAGAAGAAGAAAGAGGTCAAGCTTGCACAAGTTGAAGCAAAGAGTGAAGAAGCAAAGCGCAAGGCCGACTTGGAGGAGAGGATGATTAAGCTTAAAGAGGCAAAGGTATGGAAAGAACTCCTGGTGGAAGAGAAGGAGCACATGATGATGTCCAAGAAGGACATGGATGAAGACCAATTGCAATGGTGGAAGGACTACAAGGAGGACATCGCAGAGAGGAAGAGGATGTTCCATGGTGCGTCCTCTACTTTTCGAGGTGACACTCCGATGAGTAGTTGTGGCGATGGCAGTGTGGACGAGTCCACCGGCGCCTATGGAGATGCTTGATGGAGCCCGCATGTGGTCTAGGAGATGGCGCCGAGGTGCAACTATTTGGTGATGGTGCCGATGAGAGGGAGAAGATGATGATTTTGTGATGTGAACTATTAAACCATGCATCAATGATTGTCATTTGGTAGTTTGTTTAGAGGTTTATTGTGTTCTTGTAGTCATAAATTGTGAGATGTCAAATGATAGATTTAAAGGTTGGGGTTGAGGCAAAGACTAGAACCCTCAAACCCAACCCTTAAAGCAGTTTAAGGGTTGGGTTTGAGGGTTCTAGTCTTTGCCCCTGTTTTCAACCCTTAAAAGTGCCAACAATTGGCACTTCTCAACCCTTAAAACTGCTTTAAGGGTTTGAGGGTTTGAGGGTTCTACTAGACATGCTCTTAGTATATTAGCCATTAAACTGATATTGATAAAAATACTTAGTATAACACTTTTCACGTACTGAGCCCGCCTCCCCTCCTCCCCTTTGAGCCCGCCGTGCACCACTCCGGTGCCGGCGTCCACCCCATCCCGCCGTCCGCCACTCCGGCCTCGGCGGACACCCCTTCCCGTCGCCTGCCACTCCGGCTCCGGGGGGCCCTTTCCCCCGCTATCTCCCTCTCTGCGGTGGTCTTGCCCTTCCGGCTCGGTGGTGCATCGTCATGGCGGAAAGCCCTCGCTCGGTGACCGCGTCGTCCCGCGGGGCTGGTGATCGACTCGTGGAGTCGGGGCTCAGGATCTCCTCGGGCTCGGAGGCGTCGGGCGACTAGGTCGACCTTGAGGTCGCGGTGGCGACCGACGGCGCAACGGACGTGGGGGAGTCGCATCGCAGGGAGGCCCCCTGGATGCAGCAGGCTCCCTAAAAGAAGACCCTTTTGCGGCGGCGCATCGGTCTGGAGGAGGATCCCGCGCGGCCGCGCCGTACCCCGACGCCTCTGCGTCAGCCTTCGCCGCCGCGCCGGGAGGTCTCGCCGGAGATGGAGAACAAGTGCTTCAGATGCCTATTGGAGGGACAGATTCGCAAGGACTGCACAAACGACATCGTCTGCATCAGGTGCGGGCTTCTAGGGCACAGCTCCCGCGACTGCAAGCGGCCGCGCAGCCCTTCATCTGCGGAGGATCTTCGGCGCGAGGCAGCGGCCATAGCAGCGTGACGCGAGCTGGAGCAGAGAGCTCCTACCTCTGCCCGGTCGTCTCCGCCTACTCCTGCCCACGGCCAGGATCACGTCAGACAAGCTCCACCACCCCCACCACCGCCCCAAGGTGGCCTCCCCCTACGCTGGTGTGGCCTGCCCTGTTCGCCCCACGCCTTCAGCCACCACCAGTGCCGAAGTCGGAGTCGGCGGACATCTGCGTGGTGCGCCGCTCGCGATCCATGGAGAATCTGGAGCGTCGTCTGTAGTTCTCTATGGTGGCCTATGTTGGTGGTGCGAGGAGGGACATCCCGCTGGAGTTCGTCTTGGAGGCGCTCAGGGCCCAGGTGGATGTGGATCGGGACTGGGTGTCGGTGATCAGGTTTTAGCCAGAGGATTTCTTGGTGGTCTTTGGGTGCGGGGAGCACCGGAACAGAGTCAGCGCTCTCCCCTTCCTTGAGCATCGCGGTGTCAGGCTCTACTTCCGGCCATGGAACCGTCAAGCGCAAGCTGTGCATGCCATGTTGGGCTACAAGGTGTTGATCGAGATGGAGGGCATCCCGCCGCATGCTTGGGAGCGGGAGGTGGCGGAGCAGCTGCTAGGCACGGCGGCCATGGTGGATGAGGTCGCGCCGGATACTAGCTCTCGCTCGGATCTCGCCTCGTTCGAGCTGTCTGCCTGGACTTCTGACCCGGAGTCCATCCCCTCCCTCCGGTGGCTTGCTGTTCTGGAGCCGGGGCAGGTGTCACCGCTCATGGAGTCAACAATGTTGCATTATAGGGTTCTGATTCACATTGATGCGGTGAGGGACTACTCAACGGTGGTTGAGCCACCATGGCGTGGAGATGATTCACCAAGCAGCGGTCAGAGCGGGATTCCGGATTCCAGCAACAGCTCCGGTGGCGGAGGGCCAGTTACACGACGGTGCCATTAGCAGAGGGGAGTGCGTGACAACCGAGCAATTCATGGCCACGATCAGGCAGGCGGAAGTCGCCGGAGTTCAGGTTTGGAAGCGGATAGGGCCTCGTCGCCGGCGACACAGGAATGGAGGTTGCCGCCGATGGAGCCGTTGGCTGAGGCTGGTGGCGTGCGTCACAGGGTGACGATCCAGGATAGGGTCTCTGTCAAGCCGTCGACTTTTGACCGCATCTCGGGACCGGAGACTGCTCCTCTCAATAATTCAAACCGAAGGATCAAGAGCGTCGTGAGGCGTCCTGACCAATCAGAAGGCGCAGGGAAAATGATTGGAGATACGGATCGCACCGTGCAAAACATCGAGTCGCAGGAGACGGCTAGGGAGACCCAGCTGGCAGCATCAGATCCTATGGGTGAGGCTGCGGCTATGGGGCCGGAGCCAATGGGTGAAGCTGCTACTGTGGGGCCGCTCACTCTGGTCGAGGTGGGTCCTTTGCAGCGGACAGGGAATTGGGCAGGCGGTGCCGCCCCTGCACCAATGGATGTGCCGCTGCAGCTGGAGGCCCCACCATGTGCGGACCAACAAG